GAGCGCTGAGCGCCTCCGCGGCGCTCGCGGGGTCTGTCACCCCGCCACCTCCACCTGGACTGCGCCCCAGGCCCGACTGCTTGGATCGCCGGAGCCTGAAGGAGCCCGGTTCCAGCTTGGCTGGCGCGTGACACTGGGGCCGTCTCCTGGGAGATTTTAACTTGGAAACGCCAGGACTCTATGGGGTGCAGGTGGAGGAGGCCAGCGGCTGGCGCTTCCACCCTTCGACCCACTGCCGGCTCGCTTTCCTTTCCTTCCAAACGCGCCCGCACACACCCGTCAGGAAACCCGGCCGGCCTCTTCTAGGTGTGGAGGAAAGCCCGCTCCCCCGCCCCCCAGCCCATGGTACTTTAAAGGGGGGCCTCTGGTGCCTCTCTTGTCCCCCAGGCGCTCCTCATTTCTCAGCCCTCGAGCACCCATGGGTTGTCAGTGCAGGAAGGGTCCAGAGGGGCCGAAGGGCTCTAGACTCGACTTTCGATCCTTTGGGGCGAATGCAACCCTCCCACAGGATCTAGACTGGCTTTCGCACCTGCCCACTCTGTCCTCATAGGCTCCCACCCCCTATCCAGTCTTCCGCCGCACATCCAAGGCTCGGTCCCTCGCCACAAAGGACAGAAACTCCTTGGAGTTGGCAGTTCTCCGGCTAACCATTGCTCGATATTTACCGCCTCACTCGGGCTCCACAGCACCCCGCCTCCCCAAGTCTCTCTGCTTTCTCATTCTTCTATCCCTACACTTTTGATTAGGATGCAAACAGGATTCCAAGACCAGGGCTAGAGGCGGCGGCAGCTGTGGGCTGCGGCGATACCCAGGCCTCTCTGAGCTGCAGGGTTAAATGTGTTGCCCTTGAAGAAGGAGCCGCCTGATTTATTATAATCCACAAGTCTGGTTATTTCAGCAAGAAACTGAAGAAAACTCCCTTGCTACTGAGAGAACAAGGGATAGGCAGGAAGAAAACTAGCGTTTGAGCTTTCAGTGTGCTGGAAACTCGATAAAAATGATCTTACCTAATCCTTGCACCACCTTTAGGGGGCAGACGTTATTATACCCATTTTGCAGAGGAGGAAACTGGGCCCTGGAGATGTTAAGGACCTTGCTAGTACTTGGCAGAACTAGGATTCAAAAGCAGATCACATATGATAAAATTGCATAGCACTAAGTACACATACAAATGAGTGCATGTGAATGTGGCAACATTTGAATAAGGCCCTAGGATTGTCTTAACGTCAGTTTCCTGGTTGTGATAGTGTACTGCAGTTATGCAAAATGTTAACGGGAAAAATTGGGTAAAGGGTCTTTAGAGGATCCCTCTATATTATTTCTTACAACTTAATATGAATCTACAGTTATTTCAAAATAAAAGTTTTCGTTTTTGTTTTTGTTTTTGTTTTAAATAAAGCAGATCAGTCTTATTTTAGAACCCAGGCTCCCTTCCTTAAACATGGTGTGCCTGGGAAATAAGACAGAGGAGAGGTTCGTGTTCCGTGTGTACACTCACGCTCATGTACTTTGTTCATGGTAGTTCAGACCAGTAATAATTATATAACACACATGCACACTGTTTGTTAAGCCAATAGCTAACGTTACCAGAATACTTACAGAGGTGTCATTTTATAAATAAGAGTATAATGTTCTCCTGGGACTTAAACAGTCAAAAGTCTTAGAAGGTAAGAATGAAGAGATGTTTTTGTTCTACCTAATCTCTGCCATGGGAGCCTTACCAGCCTAGGTTTCTCTCCAAACATCTCTTTTCAACCTGCAAGAGTCTTTAAGGGTGAGACTGCTCATTAGTTCAAATAAGTGATTCTTGGGGGCCAGGGACGTTCGAAGCAACATTCACTCACTCTCTGTGGAGGAAGTTCGGAATTGGTGATGGTTATATAGTTCGAAAGACATAAGATACTCTCGATTGAGAGGAGTGAATGGGGTGGAGTTTAATGCTGGGGTTAGAAACTAGAAATTACATTCAACCTCCAACCTCCCTAGAAAGGAGGGGGAAATATGGAGCACAGTTACTTCGTGGTATAGCTTTGCAAGAGCAGTCCTACCAAGGTAGATAATTTAACACAGTGTGCCCACAGTTTAGATGACACAGTGTGAAAGATAGTTTTAGTCCACTCGGGTCAATGGAAGAAAACAGGCACTTACCTTAGAACCTATCACTTGAGCTTTTCTCTGTTAAACAAAAACGAAGATAGCAATAGAAACAGTAGCCAAGCTCCAATTCTACATTATATACAATATAAGGAAAAATGGAAAGAAATGTAAATGTTTACCCTGCGTTAATACCCTTTACAAACTACATTTCATTTTTACCTGTTACAATTTATCTGCCTCTGATATTAACTCATTTTAGAAACAGCCTGTTGTTCAGAGACCCAGGATCCTTAAATTATTTGTATATGACATTTTCAAGTGGCTTTCTGCTACATTTTTCAATATTGGACTAGCTTTCTCATATGGTTAAAAGCTTAAGAAGTTAAATAAAGAATAATCCAGGGAAGAAAAAGTTATTGTTTGTTTCTTCCTGAAAGTAACTTTGGAATGATTAGTTTAGAGTCAGGACAACAAAACTGAATTTTTAAAAAAAAAGGAAAGGAAAGAGAGAAAAAGCAAATTGCAAATTCAGGCTTTGTAAATTTCCTGAGATCTACAGAGTTATTATTTTTTCTTTTTTCTTCTGGTTGAGGAAAGGCTATAGCTCTAACCAAACTGAGTCTACTTCCCCCAAACTCACAGTTGGTTATAAGTTATTTCCCATTTACAAAATAGTCAAAAAGAAACAAACAAAACAAAACAAAACAAAACTCTCCTGTCACTCTGTACTAACTCCCAGGTCCTTCTGCACTTCTTTAATAAAAGACTTTTTTATTTTTCTGACCATCTGAACTAATCCAAACAGTCTTCAGGTAAGTTGCAGAGCCGCATCAGAGAGGGCTAACTGGTTAAAGCAGATTATCAGTTATGGTCCAACCCAGGGACTGTAGGGGTGCAAGAGACATCATACTCTTCCCCAAGATCCTAAGGGAATGGGTGGTGAAAGGAATAAGTGGGAAATTTGGGTTCCGAACATGCATGTCAAAGACTGGGAGTTTAAGTGATAAAATGTTGGTGGTAAAAGTCTAGGAAGTTGCCAGGAAGAAAAGAGAAAAACAGAAAAGGGATCGGAAAGAGACAGAAGGCAAACTGATTTACACTTTTGCCCCTGTAGGGCCCTTGCTAAGGATTAGGATTCTCTCTTCATTTTCCCTCATGAAGTATATGAAAGAAGAGGAAACAAGGGTTTGGCACAAATTAATCAATATTTTTAAAGTAAGCATTGAGGACCTACTCTGTGCCTACACCTGTCCTGGAAGTCATGAGATATGGTTCTTTCCCTTGAAGAATGTATCACTCTCTCACATATGAGAGAGTAAGGGTATAATGTGAGGTGGGATTTGATTGTAATCAGATCCTCCAGCTGGGGGACACACATGTATATGGCATGGCAGAGAAGGCGGATGATTTCCTTAAAACATAGCCTCTAGCAGGTCATGCAGCCCATTGCTTTTCATATCAGATCTTAGATCTCCTTCTGAACACTCAAGGCCCTACTTAATCTGTGCACATGTATGTCTCTTCAATGTACCCAAACAACCTACTCTCCTTCCACTCTGCTCATATATTCTTTAAAACTTCCCCTTGCTTCTCTTTCTGCCCATATCATCAGCTCAAAGACATATATGATGCCCTGTCTCTGTCCACTGTTATTTATTTGACCCAGTAGATAATGCACATCAGGAAGCGTGTCTTTTGGAGCTCATGAGTTGATCATTTAGGTGCTTTCCAAATACCTGGCAGTCACATGGAGAAGAGATGTTGCATATGTGTGCATGGGAATGGGGAGGCTGATCGTCATTTTTAGAGCTATCTTTTTTCATGTGCTGAAATCTAGAAATATTCCACGGTTCTAAAGACTGTAAGTGCCCAAAGATTGACACCACAGTTCATTCAAAGTAGAAGGAAATGAAATTCTAGTTTAAGGAACATTGGTGTTCCTTCCCCTCTCACTTAGCCGTCATGACATGAAATCTTTACTTAACAAAAAATAAGACCATTGACTAGAAAATGGTGTAATATTTTTTTCAAACAAGACTAAGTTTTCTAGAATTTGATGCACACACAAAAGAAATGGGAACCCAGAAACATATATGAAAATAGTTCCAGAAATAGATAAGTAAATAAATAAAACAATCCTGCCCAATAGAAATATAATGTGAGCCACATGTGTAATTCAAAAATTTCCAGTAGATAAATTTTAAAAAGTAAATTTTTTTATTTTATTTAAA